GACTTTACAACCGTGGAGGGTTATAAAGGAGGTTTGTTTATTCAGCACCGGACGCACACGGGATCCTTCCCAAAGATGTGCGCCCCGACCTCAAAGCGAAATTCTGTGTTTATGGCCCTAACTAATACATATTCAACAGGTGTGACACAACGCCTATACATATGCATTAACTTCCCCCGCTTCCCATGCAAATGAGCTTCCCGCCCCCCTGAGTCTGCGCAGTGCTTCTTGGTAGTGGTCGACAGGGGGTCTCAGGGATGAAGTTAGTAGTCTTCACTGTAAACTTTTCACCTCTGTGTCCGGCGCCAGCTCAGATCACCCCTGGAGTTCGTCCAAACCTCAGGCCTGGTCCTGGCTGGTTTTTCGGAGCTTCGGCCTCGGCTCCAGGCGCCTTGTGCTCGGCTCCAGGCGCCTTGTGCCATCCTCCCATCTCTTATCCGAGATAAGCCAGCACCTGCAAGGTTATACTACCCATCTACGATAGAAAATTCTAAAATAATTTAAAAACACAACCCACTACTAGACATCTCAAGGTTCTATGGATACAAACAACTACTAAATCCTCTCTTCAATTCCCCCCTTTTCTATAACATTAGTAAATTCTTTTACTCTACATTTTTGAAGTACTTATCCGACTCAAGCTTCTGTCTTAACCTATCTCTTTTCCACTCACCATAAGAATTTCTCATGTGACATGTGAAGGCACACTTAATCATAAGAACAATTATTGTGAAAAGTATAGCAAGTACTACGACTGTCAAGAATAATTGCTTCACCCACTTCAAGTTTGGCAACTATGAAGTCAGGTTTTTCCACACTTCAGAGAATCCCCACCCGACGTCATCTTGCGTTATATCATGTAGGATCCCAATCTGATCTCTTATATTCTTAATGTCAGTCGCAACCCTCCCACTTTGGTCCACATATGCACAGCAGCTGGTATTGATCATTGTACAACCACCACCTTGAGAGGCCAGTAAAAGATCTAAAGCCATGTGGTTCTGGAGCACCACCCTGCTGAGAGAAGACACTTCAGTTTGTAATCCCTGAATAGCATCAGTAGTAAAGTTGTCAATTCTTTCCATAGAAGCTGAAATATTTACTATGGCTTTCTCTAGTTCACTAACTCCAAGCCAGGGGACAAACCACCTGGCAAAGCTATGAAAAGCTGTTGGCCTCTCCACAAGGGGATTGTTTGGAATTCTTCGCTTTCTCCGCCAGTGGGTCCTCTTAATACCTGGAGGTGGATGCAAGTGGTTATATATTCTATGTTGGGGAATCACATATCCCATTGTACAGACCCCATCCCAAAAGTCAGGTAACGATTTTCTAGCGCGCCCATCTCCACATAACCTCCAAAGCCCGCTAGGTATGCAGTTGTAGGAATAATTAAACCATAACCCTTTCACGATAGTCAGTGGGCATCCATTATGGTTGTCATTGATGGACTTTCCTTTTTCACATATAATTCCATTAAGATCTGTTGTTACACTGAGGTTAAAAACTCCGACTTTTGGGGTGGTACTATTGTGTCTTTTTATGAAAATTGGCCTTTCCAGTATTTGCAATCCACTACTAGACATTTCAAGGTTCTATGGATACAAACAACTACTAAATCCTCTCTTCAGGTTGTTCCTCCAGCAGTGAACCCCCTCATCTACAGCACGAGGAACCAGGACATCAAGGAAGCTCTAAAGAAAATATTTGAATATATACTATTTCAATGTCATTAAGGAATCCATCATCTTTGAGTGGCTCCAAGGCTATCTCAGTACAAGTCAGGACCATCTTCTGTTGTTTTATTTTTTTCATATTTGGGGTTTATACCTGTGATAATAACAATTACAAACAAATAGTAGTATTCAACCCATTTCTTGCTATGCATCATGTTTTCTGAGGAAGTTTTCTAATGAATCTAAGGAACCAGCCTCCTTGTGTAAAAGAACAAGTCAGCAGAAAATCATTGGTCTCAACTCCTATCTTTTCCAATCTTCTCTGGATCTGGGTGACCATCCTCAGCTTGCAGAAGGGCTAAAGGAGCTAAAAGTCTACATTATCAATTACCACGCCACATTATCAATTATCACCCCAAAACATGAATTTATTGGTGTTTTTTCTTGTTGGTGATCTCCTTCGTCCTGCTGACCGTGGTACCTGTGTCAAAGGCAGAGCCAGCCCTGCCCCAGTCTCTCTTCTTGCTTAGACCTCCATAGACCCCAGAGCAGGGCTGTCTGCGCCCCGCCCCCGTGTGTGTTAGACATGGCTGGGGCTGGGCACTGCCAGGCTGTGAAAGAAGGAAGGCTGGTGGGGATGGACACCGAGGGCTTCCACGGGGACTTGTTTCTCCCCCCCCCCCCCATTACCCTTTGCCTTGCAGTGTCTGGTGAGGGAGGCCATGAGGGCGTGTGTTGGGCAGTGGGCTTGCACTAGCTCAGGGACAAGTCACAGATGGGAGCAACAAGTCAACGATCAGGAAGTGGGATCAAGGACAGGCTACGAAGGAGGAGTTGAGAAGTATGACCTGGATGTGCAGGTATGCATTTAGGAAAGCCAAAGCTCATGGGGGCTGCAGGAAACATCAAGAGCAAAAGAAGAGCTTTGGTCACTGTGTTTGCAAGCAAAAGGCTGAACAAGGAAGATGCTGCTGAATGATGAGGGGAGGGTTCATAACAGAAGACACAGATGAGGCTGAGGCGCTCAATGCCTTCTTTGCCTTAGTCTTTATGAAAAGCATTTCCATGGCCTTTGTGCTCAGGGAGAGGACTCAAGGAGAAGAACTCAAGGGGGAGGAGGGCATGTATTGACTGAAACTGAGTAGATCCCACAAGGACACAAGCCAGTTTCTGCCCCTGCAGGGGACTCACCCTGGCAAGACACAGGCTGGGGGCTGCCTGGCTGAGGACTGGATCTGTGGGAAAGGTCTCGGTGGGCAGAGAGCTGGACAGGAGGCATCCAGGGAGACCAGTGGGGCCCTGGGCTGTAGGACCAGGAGCACAGCCAGGAGATGGAGTGAAAGGCTTCTCCCTTTCAAATTAGCACTTGTTAGAGCACATCCTGTGTCCACGGTGTCCAGTTTTGGGAACCCCAGTACTGGAAAGGTGTTGGCAAGCTGGAGCAGATTTAGTGAAAGGCCCTGAAGGTGGTCAGGGGGCTGAAGCACTTTCTCAGTGAGGAAAGGCTAATGAAGCCTGGTTTGTTCAGCCTGAAGAAGGTAAGGCTGAGGGACACCTTACAGCAAGGGAAGCTTTTTTTTCTTCCCCAATGAGGCCAGGCAAGCACGCGAGCAAGCACTACTCACCCTGAGAGTTTGTGCAGTCCTCAGTCCTTGGCGGCTTTCAAGACCCAACTGGATCAAGCTCTGCGAAACCAGATCTGACTCTATACACTATACTCCAACCTGATTGACCATGTCATCCTATGATTTCAGTAGTTAGTAGCATAAATATGGAGATTTTGGGTTTTGAGGGCGCGCACAGTTTGGTGGGACTACCCCCTTGTGCTGCCCGGTGTTGAATAAACATACCTACTTTACAACTGATGAGTTGTGGAGTCCCTTTCCGCATGTCACACAAACTCTCCTTTTCTCCCTGAATTGTGACCAGAGATCTCTGTTCAGCCAGGCTGGTCTGGTGAGAGAGATGAGAGAGAGCAAGGGAGAGAAATCTCCTGGGATGGTGGGGGCTGTTCCTGGCATCACTCACAGCAATGTCAGGGCTCTGACAGGGTGTTAAGAGCCACGAGTCCTTCCCTGGCACAGGCAGAGGCCCTGCAGCAGACTCCCTGGCTTCCTGTGGCCAGTCCCAGAGACTGGCAGCCCCTCAGCCCTGCGGGGTGTTTCCTGCTCTGCACCTCTCTGAGATGCACCACAGCTGAAGAATGGACACAGGGACCTCAGTTCAAGGAAGCCCATCCAAGGGCTGCATTCAGGGGGCTTCCCAGGGGATGTTACCCTCAAAGTGAAGTGAGCTCAAGACACTGTCTGTCCCACAGGGTTTAAAGCAACCCCCGGGAACAGCTGATGGCATTTGTGCTCACTCAGGATAATCTCATCACACACACGATGCACATGCTACCATCTCATCCAAACAATACAAACATGGACTTTAGAGGGACAACTAACCTCTCTGAGTTGGAATAAAAGGCCTGTTCCAGAAAGGGTGGTTGTGACTGGCTGGGTGTGTGATGATTGCCCTGGAGCATCTTCCCTGGGGTGCCCAGCACAGACAGGCCCAGAGAAGCCCCTGCTGTGCTGGTCCTTCATGTCTTTCCCACAAGGCCTGGCCAAGCACGGAAACTGCTGCTTCCCCCCACCCTGCACACTCACACAGTTTAGCTGCACACCAGTGTTTTCATTTGCAGGGGCAATGCCCATGGCTTGTTCTTGAGAGCAACTCTGGAAGAAGACCTAAGGTTTCATGCCCTATCCTGAGGAGATCCCCTAGTATGATGGAGGTGCTGTTCAGGAGCTCGCTTCTGTCAGAATTTACCAGTGCGTGTCCCTGCCAGTGGTTCTTAGGCTGCAGCACAGCAGGAGTATGAGCTGCCAGAGCACTCGGCCCTTGCAGCAAGGCAAGGGCTCAGAAGGAGAGAGTGGGAGTGAAAAAAGTACCTCTGGAAAGACCAAGTGGCAGTTTTCCCTCGCACTACTGTTGTGCTGGGACTCTTTTCCCCTCCACTCTGCACTGCCCTTGAACTTCAGAGAATTTCTCAAAAGAGGATCTTGGGCTGGTCATTGGAACATTCTTTAATTTCTTTAAATACTCAGAAAGAATGTGTTCTTATTTACACAGTGTGTGTCTCACAGACAGGAATAGATGCGTAATTAGAAACAGCACAAATAGCAATATTTCTCTGTGGACAATAGTATAAAAATTAAAACAAAGCAAAAAAAAACCCAAACCCACAAAGAAAAACATGAAAAGTATAGAAGAGGGGCTTGGCCTTAAATGAGTTACGTTATGAGTGATTTGCAAAATAAGACATTTTATTGCTTCTGAAACTCATCTGGTCATCAATTTCCAAACTGCATCTTTCACATCCTTGTTCCTCATGCTGTAGATGAGGGGATTAACTGATGGAGGCACCACTGAATAGAGCACAGCCATCACCAGGTCTAGAATGGGGGAGGAGATGGAGGGGGGCTTCAGGTAGGCAAAGATGGCAGTGGTGACAAAGAGGGAGACCACAGCCAGGTGAGGGAGGCACGTGGAAAAGGCTTTCTGCCGCCCCTGCTCCGAGGGGATCCTCAGCACAACACTGAAGATCTGCACATAGGACACCACAATGAAAACAAAGCAAATAAACACTAAACAACAGCTAACCACAAGAAGCCCAACTTCCCTGAAATAGTCTGAGTCTGAGCAGGAGAGCTTGAGGATCTGGGGGACTTCACAGAAGAACTGGTCCAGGACATTGCCCTGGCAGAGGGGCAGTGAAAATGTATCGGCTGTGTGCAGGAGAGCATTGAGAAACCCAGTGCCCCAGGCAGCTGCTGCCATGTGGACACACGCTCTGCTGCCCAGGAGGGTCCCGTAGTGCAGGGGTTTGCAGATGGCCACATACCGGTCATAGGACATGACAGTGAGAAGAGAAAACTCTACTGTAGCACAGAAAATGAAAAAGAAGACTTGTGTAGCACATCCTGCGTAGGAGATCGTTCTGGTGTCCCACAGGGAATTGGCCATGGATTTAGGGACAGTGGCAGATATAGAGCCCAGGTCAAGAACAGAGAGTTTGAGGAAGAAGAAGTACATGGGGGTGTGGAGGCGGTGGTCACAGGCGATGGCAGTGATGATGAGGCCGTTGCCCAGGAGGGCAGCCAGGTAGATGCCCAGGAAGAGCCAGAAGTGCAAGAGCTGCAGCTCCTGTGTGTCTGCAAATGCCAGGAGAACGAACTGGGTGATGGAGCTGCTGTTGGACATTTGTTCTTTCTAGTAATGGAGCACTGTTGAAAGAGGAGAAGAAATGCACAAATGAGGGCAAATTTCTTTGAAACCAGTGAGTGCTTTTTCTGCAAAAAATCCCCCCCAAATCACTTCTCTTTCTCTCGAAAGTGACCTTATTATTGCGAGCTCAGGTTTGTGCTGCTGAGGGCACTTTCCTTACAGGGACAGAAATCGTTCTCCTTCCCATTGCCTTTAGCCTGCGGCATTGCTGAGCCCTGAGGGACAAAAGTGTTCCCTGTGCCCTGGGGCAGAGTCAGTAGAGCTGCTGGTCACCACCCAGCTGTCCTGGGCTTACACCTCTTTCTGTGGGACAATGGTCTCCCTGACACCATCCTTGAAGAAGAAAATAGCCTTTCACGAGTGTGGGAGAGTCCAGTTTCAAAGTCCATTTCTCCCCTCTGTTGTCCCTTTCCCTGTGCAGCTGAGCAGACCCAGTGCAGAAGGGTGGTCTAGCTCTCTGCTGCCTGGGGCTGTCCCTGCTGGGAGCTGTCTCTCTGTCCCCAGGTCTCCTCCCTGTCCCTGCTCCCAGAGACCCCCCCACGCACTCTGTGCTCAGCTCTGCCCTGCAGACCCTCCTGGCAGCAGGGCACTGCCCAGGGACATCTCCCTGTTTCTGGGTCCTCAGGAGTAGATGGGACAAAGCCTGATGCTGCAGGCAAAAGTGATGATGGTGCTGTCTGTAAGGAGAGGAGTGGGGGAAGGCACAGGATGATGTTTCTGGCAGATCCGCTGATCCCGCAGTTCAGTGAGAGCTCCTTTCCCTTTTCCCTTAGGAGAAAGGTGACAGCACAGAAAAAAAGTCTTCACCTTTAAAGTAGCCCCTGCCTTGCCCTTCCACTTGAAATGCTGCCTCTGCCGATGTCCTGGGAGTGATCTGGAGCTCTCAGCAGCCCTGTCCCACGCAGTAGGACATCCCTCATGAATACATTAGGATCTTTTACTGACAGTGGTCACTCCGTCCACCCACAACTTCTCCCCACAGCTCCACGGGGAGCTCCCAGGGCAGGCTGAGAGCCGACCCTGGCAGGCGGCAGAGTCCTGGGTCCTCAGGAGTAGATGGGACAAAGCCTGATGCTGCAGGCAAAAGTGATGATGGTGCTGTCTGTAAGGAGAGGAGTGGGGGAAGGCACAGGATGATGTTTCTGGCAGATCCGCTGATCCCGCAGTTCAGTGAGAGCTCCTTTCCCTTTTCCCTTAGGAGAAAGGTGACAGCACAGAAAAAAAGTCTTCACCTTTAAAGTAGCCCCTGCCTTGCCCTTCCACTTGAAATGCTGCCTCTGCCGATGTCCTGGGAGTGATCTGGAGCTCTCAGCAGCCCTGTCCCACGCAGTAGGACATCCCTCATGAATACATTAGGATCTTTTACTGACAGTGGTCACTCCGTCCACCCACAACTTCTCCCCACAGCTCCACGGGGAGCTCCCAGGGCAGGCTGAGAGCCGACCCTGGCAGGCGGCAGAGTCCCTGCCCTGGCACAAAGCCCTCTGGGGTGCCCGGACCCTGCTCTGCAGGACAGCCCTGGGCACCCCTGGATGCACTCCCACCTTCACACCCTCTCAACTGTCCCCAGCAGAAGGCAGCCTTCAATCCTTGTCCCTGTGACAGTGCAGAAGGGAAACACTGCTCTGGAGCACATCTGGCTTCTCCACACCCAAAAAACAAGGAGACCCATCCAGACAGATCCTATCAGTCATGTAATGTGATCTAGAAGATCCAACTATGTTAGCCATCTGCATTGCCCTACACCCAGGGATTTACTGTGTCAAAGTTGTAAAGATTTTTGCCTTGAACAAGCTCTGAACTGTGCCCACACTTGCAGCTGCCTTTATCCTTTCTGTACCTCACTCCCCTCCACGCCTGCAGGCAGAGCCCTCAGCCTTTGGCAGAGGAGCTGCTCCTGGGCAGAGCTGTCTCTCTGCAGCACTGCCCCATGGCCAGGAGCTCCCTCCATCCCAGGAGCCAGGCCCAGCTCAGCAGCAGGGACCCATCCATGGCAGCACTTTCTCTGCCCCCTCTGGAATTCCTTGGGGCTCCAGGGGAACCTGCCGTGAAACAGGCTGATGCAATCCCTTGTTTTCACTCTCTCAGCTGGGGACAGACACTTCTTTCCTGCACTGTCATTTCTCCCACTACATAAAGAGGGAGGCCCATGAGTCCCCTGATCATTGTCCCATCCTCAGCGAGGACACCCAGAGAGGGCCAGGGAACGATCTCATCTGCCATTGCTGAGGGAAGGGATTGACTGAGGGTGGGAAATTCCTTTGCCCAACTTCAACAACACAAGGTGCCCACGTGTAGGAGAAGTGACCCTGTAACTGTCCTGCTGTCCAGGGCAGCCCAGAGAGGGATCCAGCTGACCTCATGGAGTCGTGTGGCACAGGGACAGCTGAGTCTCTCTCTGTCTGGCACTTGTCTCCTGGGCATCCCTTCATTGCCTCACCTCATTCAGGGCAGCTGAATCTTTATGGAAGTCACCAATTGAGGCCTGTGGTGGTGTGGGAGGTGCCAGGGCTCTGCAGCACAACTGCCCGCACCTGCCATGGACAGCACAGGTCTGGACAGGAATCCCATCCCCATTCACAGAATCACAGAATCATCATGGTTGGACAGGACCTCTGAGATCACCAAGTCCAAACATACACACACAAAAAAACCCCTTTACAATCTCGGCCCCTAGGGCATGCCTTGAAGTGCCACATTTACACGTCTCTTAAATCCCTCCAGGGATGGGGACTCCACCACTTCCTTGGGCAGGCTGTTCCAGTGTCTGACCACTTGCTCAGTAAAGTAATTCTTCCTCATATCTCATCTAAACCTCCCCTGCCCCAACTTCAGACCATTTCCTCTGCTCCTGTCATTATTCCCTTTCAGGGAGTTGTAGAGGGCAATGAGGTCTCCCCTCAGCCTCCTCTTCTCCAAACTAAACATGCCCAGTTCCCTCAGCGTCTTCTCATAGGACTTGTTCTCCAGGCCCCTCACCAGCTTGGTGGCTCTCCTCTGGACACGCTCCAGCAGCTCAATGTCCTTCCTGTAGTGAGGGGCCCAGAACTGAACACAGCACTCGAGGTGAGGCCTCACCAGTGCCCAGTACAGAGGCACAATGACTTCCCTACTCCTGCTGGCCACACTATTCCTGAGACAGACCAGGATGTCATTGGCTGCCTTGGGCACCTGGGCACACTGCTGGCTCCTGTTCAGCCGGCTGTCTGCCAACACCCCCAGGTCCTTTTCTGCTGGGCAGCTTTCCAGCCACTCTTCCCCAAGCCTGGCGTTGTTCATTATGAAAGGAAAGCAAACCCATGGCTCCACAGTGTTGTTGAAGTGTTAGAAGTCATGGAAGTGCTTGAAAACTCTCACCCAGGAATTAAGGTTTTTCCCTCCAAAAAAGTAGCAGACTCAATAGCCCAACTGAAGTGCATCTACACTAATGCCCACAGCGTGGGGGAAACAAACAGGAGTTGAAAGCTACTGATGATGGTGATGAAAAGGTCGAGTGTTTATGGTAACTATGAGGGGAAGGCCAACAAGGCAGGTGTCATGGTGGGAGTCTGTTATAGACCACCCAACCAGGATCGAGAGGCAGACAAAATAGTCTTTCAGCAGCTGGGAAACGTCTCACAATCACTGGCCCTTGTTCTTGTGGGTGATTTCACTGTGCCAAATGTCTGCTGCAAATACAATACAGTGGAGAGAAAACAGTCTTGGAGGTTACTGGAGAGTGTTGAAGACACCTTCCCGACACTGGATGAGTGAGCCAAAGAGGAAAGAAACGCACCCTGCTGGACCTCTTGTTTTCCAATAGAGAAGGACTTGTGCGTGATGTGGTGCTTGGAAGCACGTCTTGGATGCAGCAACCATGAAATGATAGAGTTTTTATTTCTGGGAGAAATAAGGAGGAGGGTTAGAAAAACAGCTCTCTTTGACTTCTAGAGGGCAGACACTGGTGTGTTTAAAGACCTGGTTGTCTTTGGGAGGCACTCCTGATGTGCAAAAGAGGCCCAGGAAGGATGGAAATTCTTCAGAAGGGAAATCTTACAGGCGCAGGAGCAGGCCATCACCATGTGCTAAAAGACGAGCCGGCAGGGAAGAAGACTGGCCTGGCCAAACAGAGAGCTTTGTCTGGAACTCAGGAATAAAAACAGAGTATATGACATTTGGAAGAAGGGGCAAGTAACTCCAGAGGACTACAAGGATGTCATAAGGTTATGTAGGGAGAAAAGTAGAATGGCCAAAGTCCAACTAGAACTTAATCTGGATATTGCCTGAAAAGAAAATTTAAAAGTTTCTATAAATACATTAGGAACTAAAGGAGGACGAAGGACAATCTCCATCCTTTATTGGATGCAGGGGGAAACATGGTGGCCAAGGATGAGAAATGGCTGAGGTACTGAATGTCTTCTTGGCCTCAGTAAGACCAGTTGTTCTCCAGGCACCCAGCCCCCTGGGCTGCAAGGCAGGTAAGGGGAGCAGAATGAAGCCCCCATCATCCAAGGGGAAAGAGTTAGTGACCAGCTACAGCCCTTAGAGACACAGGGGTGTGTGGGTCTAGATGGGATCCACCCAAGGGTAGTGTGGGAGCTGGTGGAAGTGCTCACCAAATCACTGTCCATCATGTATCAGCAGTCCTGGCTAACCGCGGAGGTCCCAGTAGACTGGAGGTAAGCATATGTGGTCCTTATCTACAGGAAGAGCAATAAGTAAGATCTGGGGAACACCAGGACTGTCAGTCTGACTTCAGTGCCTGGGAACGTTATGGAGCAGATCATCCTGAGTGCCATCAAGCTGCATGGAAAGGACTATCAGGCCCAGTCAGCATGGGTTTGTGAAGGCAGATCCTGCTTCACAAACCTAATCTTCTATGACAAGGAAGCCTGCTTGGTGGATGAGGGAAAGGCTGTGGATGTTGTCTACCTGGACTTTAGTAAGGCCTTTGACACCTTTTCCCACAGCATTCTCCTGAAGGAACCGATGTTTGT